TTGCACTATAATAGTAGTTTAAGTAAAACAAATTGCAAATTAGAAGTTGGTTTTTATCTTGAAAAGTATAAAAAAAAAGTACAGCTTACTAAACTTAACAATAAGCATAATTATAGCTATAATGTAACAACTATTGAATTGATGCCAAAAAATTTACATCTTCTACAGGAAATCCTGAATAAGATTGAGCATTATACTACAAATGGTCGTTTAGGTGCTGGTCAGCAGTATAATCTCCTTGTTAAAGAATTCCCTTAATATCATATAAAAAAAAAGAACTTGTATAATGCGATCCAGAAGTTTAGAGGTGTACGAATTTATGATGAATCTGATACAAGTACAATGCTATCATACCTTTTACAGCAACATGATTTTGATCCTGATTATATAGTTATACTACGGCTTGAAGGGCTGTCTAATGAACTTACTAGTCTCTTCTGGATGACTAGTCAACAATACAATAATCTTTGAACAAGATTCCATGATGTTGTGATTCATGATAATACAGCAAAGACTAACAGATATAAGATGGCTCTTAGTTTGTTTGTTGGCATTGATAATAATTTTAAAATGAGAGTTATTGCTAAGCTTTGATTAAGTATGAGACTCAGGCTGATTACAATTAGATTTTACAATGTATGTTGAAAGCAACTAATAATCTTCAGCCCAAGGTGTTGTTTACTGATAGTGATATAGCAATGAATGCTGCAGTTCATGTGTCCTATCTGCAGACATGTCATATGTTATATATTTATCATCTTCTTGAAAATATCAAAAAGAAAGCAAAAGCTAAGCTCAAAGTTGATACAATGAAACAGTTTGTTAATGATTTTTATTGTATGCGAAACAGCTGTAGCAAAGAGCAATTTGAGCTAAAGTACTATAATATGTTGATAAAATACGAATTATGTTATTTATATCTCGAAAAGCTTTATAATAATCATACATCATGGGCAAGATATTTAGTAGCTAAGGTATTTATAGTGGGAATAGAATCTACTCAGCATGTCGAATCTATCATTGGGGTTATTAAAAAGCATATTGACCGTGGTACTTTATTAAGGGAATTAGTAAATGCTATTGATCAAGAATTAGAAAAGAAAGCACAATATACTCGGATTGCAGATTATTATGAGTCTAATTCATCTGTTAGTCTTGTGTCTATTTATAATACTATATTTAAAAGAATTGATTCTGTATTAGAGGCTAAGTTGGCACCTATTCCATTATCTCTACAAAGGGCTCAAATGAATCAAGCTTTATTATATTAAGCAACTCTAGTTTCAATTGACCAGGTTAATGAATGTGATATTAATAATAGTAATATAATTGAATGATTATATGATATACCTCAAATTTGTTTATTAGAACTTATGACTGATATACCTTCTAATGCACTTAAAGAGCTTTAGGAAGTATCATATATCGTATTAGCTTCAACACCACATTATGTCGCTATTCTTAATGACTCAATATTGCTTTGTACTTGTATGCAAATTGTAAATCAAGGAATGTTATGTCAATATCAATATCAGGTTTTTATTTATTCAAGCAATGCAATATTTCATATATCGCTTTTTCATACCTGTTGGTTTGATTCATTTTCATCTGATACTATGAATTTTATTACAATCTCTCAAGGTGTAGAAAGTACTATGACTAAACCATTACATTACATTAATCAATTAAGAATTGGTGATGTTTATATACCAACTATTAGGGAGCATGTTAACAAGAAAGTTTAATTTAGTGCAATGATGTCTGTGGCCAAAACTAGTGTCCAAGTTGTGGTCTCTGAGGGTGTTACTAAAGAATTAACTGGAGTATTAGTACAATTCATCATGAAATATCATCATGATACTGGGTTAGACATAAAAGAAATATACTTACCTCCAAGTATATTTTTCACTAAAGTTGTAGAACAAGAAATATTACCTCTGAATATGGCTTCTGAAGTTGTAGAACTTGCTTCCAACTTATCACCAGCACTTCCCACAACCACTCAAATAACATAACAACCTTTGAATGATATTGAGGTGTCTAATCTAGAATATCATAAGCTGAAAGAATGACCTCCTAAACGGCTCAAGTCATCTGTTGAAGAATATAATAAACATTATACTTCATCTTCTAAAACTTGCAGTTACTGTTTGGGTAAAGGCTATAATATTTATGGATGTTCAAAGTATAAATCTGATCTAGCTAACAAAAAGAATCATTAAGTAGTAGAGAAACTGGTATTTGTAATGAATTTTGGCTAGAGTAAGAATTATGTATATACAGCTGTTTGGTTAGAGTTAGGTATTTATGGTTAGATCGAGTTTAAAGTTAGGGCTATGTATTTGCAGTTATAATTTTGTTTAATTGTTGTTAGGTGCTGAAAGCTTATTTTGTTATTGCTATTGATTGCTTATTATTGATTGCTTATTATTGATTACGTATTGATAAGCTAAAATCTCATTTATTCATCATCATTATGTTTGCTTGCCAAATTTAATTTTTGTATTGCTATATATTTGGCAAGCAAACTATTTTCCCGATGCCTACTTTCAAATAATCATTTTATCAGCAATTTTGGCAATATAAAAGGTAAGATATATGAAAGATTTTGTTGATAAAATGATTTTTAAAGTTGCTTCAGGATCTATGTTTTTGTTTAGTGCATGTTATACTAACGATTTTGATTAACTTAATTACTTTGTAGTATGTATGTAATCATTAATTATTAGTTCAAATTAACCAGTCAGTTTTTTTTAGTTGAATAGCCGATTTGATATAATTAAAGGACTTGATTTCAAATATATATCATGCTTTTAGATGTGTATTTTGCATGAAATGCTGATGTCATTTAATTGATTTTTATATGGGATACTATAAATAATTTATTATAGCATTAGTATTTCGAGCGAAATGCATATGCTTATTCTAATAAATATTATTTAACTATATAGTTGATAATTATTTGACTAACTAAAGTTGTTCATATTTCATGATCACGTAAAAAATAGTCTGTATTACCAGTAATAATCACTACTGGTAGTAAATAGCAAAATTCTTTATTTATATATTTCAATAAATAATATCAAAAAAGCTAGTATTAAGATACTAACTTTTTATCTTTTTATTTATAACTTTTATTTACTAGTTCAATTAGAATAAAGTCATTATAAATTAAATTTAATAAACTAAAAATTGGTTTAATCTGATTACTAAATTTTAAGTTACTAATATTTTGAATTATATAATATAACAAAATATATAACTTAAATTTTATTAGTTAATTATTGTATTTTACTATATTTAGAATTGATAATATTTATATTATAGCAGATATCTATACTTTTTATAATAAGTTATAATAGTTAAAAGTTTTTGACACTATAATCTAAAAATAAATTTTTGTATAAATATTATATGTATTTTATTCTAGAAATATCTAATAATCTTGTTTAAATGATTTTTTTTTAAATATTCAGTAGTCATGCTGTAACTTTATTTAGATTTGTTTTATAATAAAACCAATATTATTTGGTTGAACTTTCTAATATATAATTTTTTAAGTTATAACTCACTCAGTTATTCTAATAATACTTATGTATAATCTGCTATAGTAACCTTTATTCTAGATTGTTATTATTGCATTAAAACAAAAAACAAGTCCTTATAGAATAAATGTCATAGCTTATCATAACTACTTTTATAACTAATTAATTTTTTTGTCATCTTTAACTTTTCTTTCTATACTACTTAATGCTATTTTAAGGCTAATACTACTTATATCTATATCTTTATCTACTTTGCTTTTACTACTCTTCATTAGAATATCTTTCTTATATTTCTTTCCTTCCTTTATTTTTTTTCATTTTTTCTTTTCACAAGTACTTTTCTTTTTGAGATATATTTTCTTTCTTTTTTTTCTAAGTTTCTTTATCTTTGCATTAGTACTTTCAAACTTCTTTATAAAATAGTTCTATTTAAATATACTAGAACATACACCAAAACTTAATTATTATCTTTTTTAATCTAACTATATCTTTAATTTTGAATGCCTCTTCTTCTTTAAGAATTCTTCTTAGCTATTCTGTTTGTACTTAGCTTTTTTCTCTCAAACTGCTATTTAATATTTGCTTGAAGCTTTCAAGATCTTTTTCTTTTTCTTTCCTTTCATCTTTATGAAGTTGTTTCTATACTTTCTTTTCAATTTCTATTAGGACCAGTTGTGATTTCTTATATTTGATTAAGTAGTTACTTAATTCTTTTTCCTTTGCATATTTTTGTATAACCTGTTTTTATATATATATAGTTTTCTATTATTCAGTACTTCTACTATTAGAAAGATATTTTTGATACATTTAATTTTGAACAGATGTAAGTAATTTGCTTCTGAGTTGGAAAATTGTTTATAGTAGCTCTCTAGTATCTCTCTAAAAGCTTTCTACTCTTGCTTTTGAACTCTAAACTGATATTCCTTATCCTTCTTTTTCCTTAACTATATCTATTTTACTTTGTAGATTGCTTGAATAGTTCTTTTAATAAAGGCTCTTAGCAGAGTTTCCAAACTTATATTTTTCTACTCTGGAATAAACCTTATATTACTATTGCTAATATTATTAAATTCTGTAATACAAGGTTTCTGTGAGCTTTCTTTTGCTAAACTGTTTGCTATATTATTAAACACATCTTCTAAGTAGCCTTTAACTTTAATAAAATTTAGTTAGATTGACTTGCTTATGCTTGCTTTTTTAATTGCTCATAAGATATTACTATTCTTAGACTTGAACTATTCTCATATTTTCTTGTATCTTAGATAGTTTTCAATTGCTACTATAGTATATATGCTATCTGTTCAGATTTCTACTTTATATTTGCTGAGTGCTAAAAGAATTGTAATTAGATATGTGGTTATTTCTGCATAAGTAGATGAAAACCAGTTTTAAATTCTTCTTCTATAATTATAAATTACATTATTTATGTTATCTACTTGGACTACACTATATTCTATTTTTGCTTCTTTTCTACTTTCTTTTCTTTTGAGTGAGCTATTCATATAAAAAAACTATTTTGTCTTTTTCTCAGTTTGCTTCTAATCCTATTTTAAGCTCTCTTCTAATCTCTTTGTTTTAAACTATTTAATTAATTAATTCTATTTTCTAGCTACTTTCTAATTTAATAACTTTAAGGTTTTTAAACTTTTTAAACTCCTTTTTTTAGTGCTTTCTTCTATCTTTTTGAAAGCTTCTCTATCAAATATTAGATATAGTATATTGTCTTTTTTTAGAACATATTTTGAAATATTCTATACTTTTTTCAGTGCTACTCTTTGAATTTTACTTTCTTTTTTGAGTTTAGAATTTTCTATATATTTTTTTTTGTTAATAAAGCTTCTCTAATTGATTTTCTTTGTTTAAATAAATTTGTTTAACTAAATTAATCTTAAATAGACTATTTTTAGATTATTTTAATTTTGTATAACAAAAATATTTTTGTTGAATATTTCAAAATCTGTAATCTGCTAAATTTTCTAGTTTTTACTTTAAGAGCCTATATAATTAACTAGAATAGCTTAGCTTAGTTTACTAAAGCTATAGCTAAAATTAAACTATAATATAATTAAGCTATATATATATCATAGCTTAAGTTAGCTAAGTTATTTAAGTTATAGCTTAGTTTTTTAAGCTACTATTAACTATAACTTAAGCTATTATAAAATTACAAAACTTAAATTAGCTATATTTAAAGTTAGCTTCAAAATTATAACAAAAGTTTATTAGCTTAGCTCAAACTATAGCTAAAAACTAAAACCAAAAGTTATACTTTTCTAATTCAAAATATAATTTTAAAAGTTTGATTTAATAATAGCTTTAATATTAAGTTATAGCTAAAGCTAGCTTTAAGTAGAGATAATAATATCCTTATATTTCCTTTTAGTTATATAATTATAAATTTTATAGATCTATTAAACTTTTCTAAAGAGTATATATAAGCTAATAAGTTAACTTAGCTATTTCTATTACTATATTTAGATAACTTAGTATTGCAGTTAAAAACTTTAAAAAATATTACTACTTTAAAAAATTTCTAAAAATTAAATTTAGCTTAAAAATTTTAATGATAATTTAATTGATAAACTTTGTAAAATATCTAATATATTAGAATAACTTGTAGTATTCTAAAGCAAATTAATATTTTTTTTATATTTTAACTTTCTAATTACAATATATAAGTAAGGTCTATATAATTTAGTATAGTAGTTAGGTTGTTAGACTGCTATGCAATAGGTTTAGAGTTTAAATTCTACTGTCAACAAATTTGAATAATATCTAGATATGTATATCTAACTTACAGAAAACTCTGCCTATTCCTAAAAAAGAATCTTAAGAGATATATTAAACCCTATAAAAAATAGTATTACACTAAGTTAATTAGGTATTAGAAGTATAATAGTAATATTATATGAATAAATCTGCATAAGATATATGAGTAAAAGATCTGCATAGTAGAAACTTTGAGTTTGTAAAGTAGTATAGTTTTTGATAGTTATACTAGCTAATACTTGATCAAAAAGAAGACTCTTTTAAAGGATATAGATCGAAATAAATACAAATAAGTTCAGTTTATAAAAAGAATTAGCAACAACAACTTAGCTTAGTAGCTAACTAGATTAGAATGATCTACTTCATAATACATTTAGAAAAATTTAATAATATATACTAGTGAAGAGTTATAAAAGAAATTAGAGTTATATAAATATTACAAGGGTCTAAGCTAGATGAATTTGTAAAATAAGCATAGACTGCACTAGTAGATATGCTTTAAGATTAATTAGCTTTGCAGTATCTACAATAAGTTAAATATAATATAACTCAAGAGGATCTAAGCTATAAAAAGTAAATAGATCTGTAATGAGCTAGCTAGCTTAAGTAGTTAGATATTATAGTAATATTAGTTTGTAATAGTATAGGTTAGTTGAACAGAGTATTTAAATAGGTATCTCACAGGTAAGTTACAAATATAG